AATCCCTAAACCGTTAGAGCACATAGACCCTTTTTTGCATCAGGACTTGTGCAATCGCCTGAACACATAGACCCTAAACCCTAAACCCTAAACCCTAAACCCCTAAACCCTAATCCCTAAACCCTAAACTGTTCTTAGACTTGTTAGAGCACATAGACCCTGCAATCTGTCAACCTGCAGACTTCGGGGCTTTTCCAGCTCAGGATTGGAAGTGGGGACTAAGAACCTCAGGAAGGCAAGTTACAACAGGATCATACAGGGCTTTAGGGTTTAGGGTTTAGGGTTTATGAGGGTTTAGGGTTTAGGTCATCATGGTGCAGACACATGATGTGTACTATCAACCGTTCGTGCTGACACAAGAACACTAGTTACTTAGAATAGCAGCAATAGCCGCCTGTGCAACAGTCGTAGCAAGAGGCCTCGATGCCGGTGACAGCAACCCGGCTTCTTTTAACCCCCAACCGAAAACCATAATCCTAATCCCAAGGTTCAGGGTTTAGGGTTTAGGGCTTTGGGTTTTAGGGGTCTAGGGTTTAGGGTTTAGGGTTTGCTACTGGACTCACAACTCGCCAGAACACGACCTGCAATCAAGATAATCCTAAACCCTAAACCCCCAAACCGGCTTCCGGTCATCGTGAGAGGCTGAATTCTTTGAGAAGCAAGGCTTTGCCTTTACCCCGGACCGACACTTGCCTCAAGAACAGGTTACTGGGTGTACATGCGATATTGTTAGTAACAGGGTTTAGGGTTTAGGGGTTTAGGCGGTTTAGGGTTTATTAGGGTTACTCTTGAAGCCATTGGAACCCTAAGGCCTAGGGAGTTCGCAAAAAACAAGACAAAACACAACGTGACAGCGTATACCGCTCCTCTCGTAGATGCTCATGTACTACGACTACATACTAAGGGACCTTTGAAGAGATGGTACTAATTAACAGCCACGAATATTCAGGCGCCTAGTTACTTCTTAGATGACACCACAGACCCGACCTCTTGGTCTCCGATGTTGACAGGATCTGCCTCCTGTAGCAGACGAAGGGGTCTTAGGCTTCAGGTTGGAGGGCCACGGTTTAGGGTTTAGGGTTTAGGGTCTAGGGTTTAATGTTGACCCCGGGCTGTAGGGCTGATGGTGTTAATCTTGAGAATTGTTTTCAAGCTTCTCAAGGTGGGCATTGGGGTTTAAGGGGCCAAGTTTCGGGGCTGGGTCCACGCATTCGCTTCATGACTTACCAGTACGGCCTTCGTTGATACCGCCATTGTATCTGAGCCTGGTGTTCCAAACACTGCATTCGGTTCAATGACAGGGCCTTTGTGTTCTAATTAAAGTAAGCGCCTTGAACCAAGCAAGCTTGTATCATCTCAGATATGTTTTTCCCTTGCGAAACCCGTGCAGAGTGTCTCTATAGCTTGCACCCCATAACAGTTAAGGACTCGCGAAAAAATACAGGGCTTCTTGGCTGTCTACACCCCTCCATAAATTACTCTACGACATTTCGAAGGCCTGATGCAACCCTAACGATCTAATGCAAAGAATGCTGCCTCCTCCAAATCTGCGGGAGGCTCTTCTTCGACTTCCAGCTCCTGCAGCAATCGGGGGTATTCAGAAGCAAGGTACCTTGGTGGTTCATGGTTTATACGGCCTTTTTGCCTCCTACTTCGCAAGGACGAGCCCGAATGGCAGGGTTGACAAGTCTGGCAAAGGTGTGCATCCGTCTTGGAGGCATCAGGCAAAACACAAGCCGAGTCATCAACAGTCCCCCTCTATACACAAGAGAGCCATCTGCACAGCTGTGTGCATTTGACATGCTAGCACCCTTCACTCCACCGGCCGATTGTTCACAACGACTTTAGCATCCAATGGACAACATTGCCAACCCGCTGAGGCGGCCATTTCACGCAGCGCCGAGTGTTGCCAACATCCCGGCAAGACGCCAACATCTTGACCGAGAGGGCACTGATCGCCACAAAGGTCATCGAAGACGGTGAACCTCACTTCCGTCTTGCGGAGGAGAATTCCGGCAGGAACCCGTTGGGTGGCTTCCCTGGAATGATCCAAACTACAAGGATCTCTGAGGTTCAGGCGACACGGTCAGCCTTGGCGTTCCGTCTCGATTAACTCGCATGCTCGACGATGCTTAGAAGCAGCTACCACGGCAATGCCGTACCCGCACGCTGCCTTTACATCGCATCACGCACTTGCGGATGCTCGGCAAGCGTCTGCATGGAGAACAGTCAGGAAGTGCGGCTCATACTCGGATGCCCTGAGCCTGACTCCCCTAGCGGCTGCCGACGATGCTTATTTTAGGCTGCTCGACGCGCGCTAGGCAGAAGCACGGCCAACTCCTACAATGCAGCCACCTCGGTTCCTGCTGCTTCGCACTGCATCCACTGGTGACAAGTTCCGATGACAGTGGGTTGGTTGTGAACGGCTGCAGTTTAGTAGCTTCGTCCTAAGTGCCAGATGTCCTGGCATTCAGGGAACAGTTACATGGAGCTCGTGCTTCCCGCATGATCAGGGTTTAGGGCTTACTTGGAGGGTCGGGAGACTTAGTAAGTAGGTAATAAGTAGACTTATAAGTACCCTAAAAGGGACCCTAATTCGGGTTATAGTACTTATAAGTCTATAAAATAACCATTTACTAAGTCCCCCGACCCTCCAAGTTCTATCTCGGCGACACCTGCTTTGTTGGAAAACGATGTGTAGTTTGTCATAGCTTAACCCATTCGTCTATTCT